TTAGGAAGTCAGATTTGTATATGAAGCACTTAAGCTTTTACTACTTCTCATCTGTAACCCCCCAGATCACCACCCCCAACCCCTTCAATCTCTTCCTGTTGGTATAGACGTGCATAAACACAGGGAAGGCGGTGCCTTTGATGTCGACATAGACGGACAGTTAACCAAAGGTCATTAAGTGCACACATTCCAGGGAAACTTTGTGAATGAACGTCACAGAATCAGGGCGGGGCGGTTTCCATTCAAGTTGATCGGAATGTGCCCTTCACAGAAATTAACTCTAGATGTGAGTTTTATTAGGTGGTTCTGTGTTTGACAAGCCGCCGATAATATGCTTCGAGGAGGGCATGTCGCTCCTTTGGTCATTGTTAATAAAGAAGAGGTTAGACATGACAAGATCGTTGTTGCTTATATCGTCTCCGGAGCACCTTTGTCTAGCAACTCGAGAATCGCATGGCATTTGTCATACTTATAGACTTGGCGGTCGGTCCATGGATGGCACCATCCGAGAAACATATACAATGTGGGGATTTCGTTTTAATTCCATTTTAATCTGTCCATTTTAACCTTTCCCATTTGTAGTTGACTCCTTGTAGAAATGGGTATTGTTTATTATAGGAAGTAGGTATTCGTTGAGAAGGTTACTCATCAGTTCCTATTGCATGGTTCGGTTGTGGTTTGGTTCAAGCGGAGTAACTTATGTCTGCAATCATGTTTATGCTGCGGTGTGGTTTCTGTATCCAGAAAATAGGAAACTTTTGTTTTCTTTCACTATTATGGTTTAATTAACATATATTTCAAAAGTTATTGTGACTGACCATACAAGTGTACAATGGCTATATAAAGGCCTCTCCCGTATAAAATAACAGTCACTAAAGCACCCCAGACAGCAAGGACACTTTGCATGTGACTAACAATCGTAACAGAAAACTCTATGATATTAAACAAGCATTGCACAATCTATTTGTAAGTTGATTAAAAGTACAGATTCAAATAATGCGAATATTAAGATCATTATAGCTGTTCCTAAACAACGTGGTCTTGATGTTAAGCATTTCTTGTTTATTAATATTACACCAGGAATTACATGTTGAGAAGTGGTATATTGGCCTTTATACCGAAATAAACTATGTTGGCATCTAAGATGGGTTGAACCAGATGATGATGGAGAGGAGAGGAATGGAGAGGTAAACGAATTTATTCAGTTCCACGTCACGCTGTACACCTGTGCCAACTCGACCCCAACAGAGTACGTTTTAAGCCACGCCGCGACAAGACAGACAGCGGACGCTTTAATTCGCGATATCATAATATCATAATGATGATAAAGCTTTACTTAATCTGAAACATCTGTCGTTTTTAAATGACTCATGTAAACCGACTCACATACACGTGTAGCCAATACCTTGTAGTTGATTTCGATAGGAAATCGAACAGCCGAGATCATACTTTATGTCAAGACGAAAGGTCGATGTCTTGGGTGGGTCAAAGATCTTATAAGTCTTCATAAATTGAAATCAAATGATCACAAATGACTTTATGACAACGTCATAATCTAACATTAAAGCCGATTATGTGTATGTTTGACTCGGGGTGGTAGGGGTGCCTGGAATATTTGTAAGAATAGCTTGTTATCTTTCCTCACACGACTTACGAACCGTATTGGATCAGACTGAATCTCGGAGATAATCAAGTTACTTTCCCATGCTACAATACACGAAGATCGATGGCACAAATAAACTGCACTGAAACAGACACCGTTAGTATCGTCTTAACTTTACAATGGTGGTTCAACAAAGTTTGTAAGTTTCTTTGCTTCACCCATCACTCAGCAATGTGCCGGCTATACGATGATGACCTGTTTCTACTGGAACAGACAGTTCAGTGACGGTCATCATGAACATCGATTGGGATAGACGATCGCACGACAATCACGGGTTGCTGAAGACAAAATTCTAACCCGGGAGGTTGGCTTTAAGTGGGAAACGAAGAATGTAACTGCATCGATGATACACTTCCTTCAGTTTGCACAAGACAATTACAATTGTTACAATCGTATTTTACACTGAGTCTAACAAACCCTAGTAGAAGGTCGCGTCAGCTAACCTTTGAGCGACCTATGACCATCCAATCAAACGCGAGACGACCGAACGGGTTTAACAAATCAGACGACTACTACTTATTAGGGTTCGGCGGGATTTACAAAACGGTTTTTGGATTTTCTCTTCCCTGGTCGCCGACACTGATCTATCAACAAACGAAAATTAGCATAAAACACAGATATTTGACCTGCAGTATATACGCTTAGGGGTTTCTAACGACATGGTTACTATTAGTTTATATTGACATAAACGAATATTTATATTATACTGACAAAAACGCTATTTTCAGCGACTGTTTACTCATTGCGTCCTCCATGTGTATCACACGTGCGGAAAATAGCGTCATGAATCGTTCGAGGTTTTGGGGTAAAGGTTCAAAAGATATGTGCGAATGTTAACTTTCGCGATTTTGGTAAGCTGTGTTCTGATTGGTCAGTCCAAAATGTTAGCTGACGCGACCTTCTACTAGGGTTTGTTAGACTCAGTATAGCAGTGTAACGAACAATACTCATACTGAGCCTAAGTTTACTTAGACTGCTACTATTTTTTAAAATCTGAATATAGTTTTTCAGAGTCTTAGTTCAGAAGAACAACAGAAACGGGGAGAGGTTTTCTGAAAGGAATAACCCGTGAAGGTCCGGGTTAGAATGAACCTTCAGTAACCCATGCTTGTCGTAAGAGGCGACTAACGGGATCGGGTGGTCAGGCTCGCTGGCTTGGTTGACACATGTCATCGGTTCCCAATTGCGCAGATCGATGCTCATGCTGTTGATCAACATAAGTCAACATAGCATGGATGTCCTCCTACATTAAGCTAACACGCAACGACTAACAAGAATATTTTACAAAGAGGCGTTAAACCGATCTCTACTAGATCTATACAAATTTAGCATCGCAATGTTTCATTTCGCGTCCATTCCTAATCGACTTAGGAATATCTTTTCATATATTTCTTACTAATTTTCAGATTTGTTAAGATTATTATTTATTCCTCAGTACGGCATGACTAAATACGGTTGGCATGGCTTCGATAACTACTGTTGAATCAGATGGTTTCTGGGAGAAAACTTTTCCATTTGAGAATACAATCGTTGGTGGTAGTCAATCAAGATAGTCCGGTTTTCAGTCGATATTGACTAATTTTACGTCCGCTTCAGTTACTATTCCTTCAAAACGCCATCCACAAGTTCAAAGGTATCGGATTTGACGCCGATTATATATATGCTTTGTAAATCAATAGTCGTTGGTTCTTCTGAATTATAATTCAACATCCGGTGGTAAGCGTAGTATGACCTGCATCAACTTGGTCTTTGGTCACAACTGAAACATTCTTCAAAGCTGCGTTCAACCCAACTCTCTCAATGGCGTTTGTATTTCTATCGCTGATGCAGTGCCTGGGAATTATTTCAGACATTTAATGAAAATTACTCTCAAAATACATTGTAATGACAGTTACATCATGTTCTGAAGCATTCCTATCATTATGAAGGAACACATTAATGATACATGAACCTAATTTTGAAACATTTGTACCTTGTTTATGATCGCACACACATTCCAGCTCTATGATGGTGATCCGTGAGAAAATCATGTCCTCCAGAAAATCCAGCTATTGAAATCATGTGCATTGACCTAAGACAATTGGATACAACGACATGCATAAGTGTGCAAACCTGGCCACCCCATCCGTTAATCGCCTCTTACATGAGCTCTTTAGTGAGTTAAAGCAAATTTAATTTAAAGGATTTTGGGTGAAAAGACGATTAGGGCCCAAACTGATTTCCAAAAGGGTGTTGCCTTGAACAAAATTAAACATTCTGGATGTCTGGCTGCTTGTTAAATTCTATTTTAAAAATATTTTCGACACAAACAAACTACAATAAAATGACAGACACCTGAACGTTAAAAAAAAGAGAACCGATCCGATGATAAAAATAAGTAATAAATAGCCAAAAACAATTACCCTTTCAGCGTGAGGGATATAACCATCCTCAAAACATAAGAAAGTAATATTCCAATGGTTCTGTAAAAGATGCTTGTATGGAAGGGTCTTCTTCACACAAAATTGCTGACTTTTGACCCCAAGAAAATTATAATTTGACTGATCAGTAGTTGTGAATGAAGTTATTTCGTTCTATCATGACACATGGATTTTAACACATAGGATTCAAAATGAATATCATTAATCAAAGTATCATTTCACACACACCAGGGTATGCTGTACATCATCCAGGCAATGGATTTTTCTGAAGAGAAGATTAGATGGAAATAATGAAATAATGGGTAAACATTGATCCCATTTGCACCTGTGTCAAACTCATTCCAGGTCTTTCTGAAATATTGAAAGTACAAGAGTGAGTGAGTTTAGTTTTACTCCGATTTCAGCAACATTCCAGCAATATCACGGCGGGGAACACCAGAAATGGGCTTCACACATTGGGCCCATGTGGAGAATCAAACCCAAGTCTTCCGCATGACAAGCAAACACTTTACCCATAGAAGTTTGACAGTCATTTTGTAATAACTGCAACAAGTCTATATCAGAACTGTTATTCATGCAAGGAGAAAGATCTTCAGTAGCCCATGCTTGTCGTAGGAGGCGATCAGGTGGTCATGCTCGCTGACTTGGTTGACACCTCATTGTATCCCAATTGCATAGATCATGCTGTTGATCACTGGATTATCTGCTCCAGACTGCCGCCATATACCTGGAATTGGGCAGAGTGCAGAGTAAAAATAAACTCACTTACTCACTCATTCACACGTTTACTCTCAATATCCTGTGTAAGTCCACTGTGACTATTTGCTTACTGCAATGAGTTTTAGGCATACATCCATCCTTATAGCTGAGAAAGAAAGAACAATCAAAGCTGTGTGAACACCAACGAGACCAAGAACTGCATATCCATATGTCATAAAAATCATGACACTCTTTAATGTGAAAATATGCCAGCACTGAACAGAAAGTGGGGAACCAATTGAGGACAGCTGTTAAAGGGAGGTAATCCAGTTACCATATGTCCAACAGCTGCACATCTGCTCCTTGCTGCACAGAAACACATACATGCTTTCCAACTTTATACACCATCAATACTGACTGAAACACATCTGACCAGCAAACTGCCCCTTCTCTACCACGAACAGGACAACAAAGACATACATCTGGAAGATCATTTTAAATTTGGCTTGCTCCTATTTGTACAGTATTTACCTAATACCTACAAAGTCAATGATGGGCAGTTGATGTGACCACAACTACTCTACACAGGAAAAGACCTCAGTGTATGAAATTCCTAGCCTAGTTTTCCTGAGAGTGGACAGACACTTTTACCTTGGGAAGATGCTGTTAGCCCAGGGGTCCCTACACTGCCTTTAAACAATGATTTGAGTTTATGAATGTTGCACATTATTTGTACAAATACATGAAATGCATCAGTTTTGATTCTCTGTCTCTGCTGGATTGTCATATCTGTTAGTCACTGTCGTCTATCTGTACAACATCATCCTCTTCTTCAACATCAACATCTGCATCCTCATCACCCAGATTCACAATTTCCACATGTTCCATAACTTCTTCGGGAGACGACGGTCGCGTGTGGACTTCCCCCTCGACGGTACCTTCATCTTCATCATCATCGTCCATTTCCTGCAAGAAACAAAGCAACATAAACCCCTAACATCCCATAATGTTTAAACAGCATAATGTAAACAAATTCTATGAGTTTTTAGGAAACATTTAGCATTACTTAACAAGAGAGATGCTGATGATGTTTCTAGCTTCCCATTACAGCATGATTCTTGAATATTGTACATGATGTACTTTACATTACTATATACTGAGGTTAAAACATGGAATTCTCATAAAGAAATATCATTGTAACATGTGACTTCATTACTTTCACATATTCACAGGGTTAACCAATTAATGATTACAATTGTGGATTTCAATTCATTTATGTAACAAGTCTTCCACATCAAAGAATTTATATAGATACTTAAATTTCACAAGATAAACAAAACTCTTTATTCCACTCAAACATAATGAAAAACTTAAACTATAATGTCCTCACTACGTAATCAAAATATAAAAGACAACTTCACATACCTAACTAAACTTGCCATACACATATGGAGGTTATTCATGGTACTAAACATGTGTTAGTAGTACATATATCGGAAAAAAACTTCCACAGTTTATCATTAAAATTGGACAAATCCAAAGATTTATTCATGTTTCACATTTTATAAAGATTTCCATATGATAGTAACCCTAGCTCACAGCACTTGCTCTCAATGTCCTGTTTTTAAGGAAAGATATGGTTAAGGAGAGTACTAGAATCACAAATACTGATATTCATATATTGCTAGTACCATTGTTATCTATTTATTTACATATAAAGATTTGGATCTGTCCAAGCTAGAGACAAGTACTCATCCAAGCTGCAAGTTGACAATCAAACTCCAGTGAAAAGCAACAGTGTAAATAATTTTGCATAACGTAAGCCAGAGGAACTCTGAAGCAAACGGTAACAAAGCAGTCATCACAATGGTCAGGGAAGAGATTCGCAATATATTTTCACCTCCATTCTTTCAGACTCACAAATATCATGTGTCAGTTACATAATCAAGAAGTTTCAATAACAAGATGCCAAAACATAACAAAGTATTTAGTAAGTTCTGGCTCTGTTTTTTTATCACATTCCAAAATCATGAGATTTCAAGAACATCTTTAGTTTGTTACGATAAAAAACTTGGAACTACCACCACAAGAAAAGCGTGAAGATGTGAAACAGGCTCAACATAGCAACCCTGCCTTGCCGTGCTACAGGTGAGAATCGGTGCACATACATCATCTGACATAAGGATTAATCCAAGCAACCCACTGTCACCTCATTCCAGTATCATACCACACAGTACCAAATACAGCCAACAGCAGCTCAAAACCATAGTTCTCAAGTTTTAAACATTGCCTGACCATTGTGAATAAAAGAATAAAGTCTAATAGCTGATAAGGGTGATAAATAAAATAATACAACACGTGTGTGTCTCTTTCTCTGGAGAGGTCTACATGCAGCAGCACCAAAAAGGAAAAAAACATTGTGAAACTTTTAGCAAAGGAAAATATATCCTTATTATGTTTTACATCTCTAAATGACTGTATCCAAATTTGAACTGTTTTAACTCAACTTTTTGCTTCTTATTGGGGTTTGATGTGTTGATGTAACTCAGAGGCATTTCTCATCATCGTATTCCTAAAGTAGCTTGACAGCCTAGTTTATGTGTTAACTGCTCATCATCATTTCAAACTGTTGCAGATTGTAGCTTGTCACATAGTTACAAATATGTATCTATTATGGTACAAAATCTGAGAATTGATAAGTATTAACAAAGAAAGAAAGATGCTGCTCCAATTCAAATATTTTTATATATGCATACACTGCAGAAAATTCCCTTCAAGCCAGAATACATTATTAGTGCAAGGTCCTACTTAGACCTAAGTCCAAATACATGTTAAGAAGGAATGTCCTACACAGAGGTATACATGACAGGTGGTGTGTGAGTGTGGACACTGACCGACTCATCTGTGGGGTCACAGGCTTCACAGTGCCACGTGTACCCTCGGGGTTTGGGGGACTTTCTGGTGGGGGGATTCAGACACTGGAAGTGGTAACACAGCTGGCACTCATCACAGCTGAAACATGGGATGTCAAAAGCATTAGCTGCATCACAAAGAAAACATGCAGAAAAGTAGCCAACATAATATATGCATTTGTCAAAAAGTTACAGAGCCAGTGACACATCCAGGATTTTGAAAAAAGAGTGTAATATCTAATTCAAAAAGCAACATGGCAGAGTACACAGTTAACATGTAGGGTGTCTATAAAGACAGGGTAGCCCACCCTGCATCCCATGCCACACTCCCTTCTGAATGTGCAAGTAAGAACAAGGGTCAAACAAAAAGTGAACTCATTTAATAAATCTTGCTGAAATGCGTAAACCCCTAATGGAGTCTGTCACCAAATTTGAAGACATTGGGAACAATAGTTCATGAGATATCGTGTTAACAAGAGTTTAAAAAGTGGTCAAAGTAGTGGGGTGATCTTGAAAATAAGGTCAAGGTCACCAAAATCGACTGGTGTCTCCGTAATCCCCCAATGCAGGCTGTCACCAAATTTGAAGACATTGGGTACAACATTACATGAGATATCGCATTAACAAGAGTTTGAAAAGTGGTCAAAGTGTTATGGTGACATTGAAAATAAGGTCAAGGTCACCCAAATGGACTGGTGTCTGCGTAATTCCCCAATGTAGGCTGTCACCAAATTTGAAGACATTGGGTACAACATTACATGAGATATCGCATTAACAAGAGTTTGAAAAGTGGTCAAAGTGTTATGGTGACATTGAAAATAAGGTCAAGGTCACCCAAATGGACTGGTGTCTGCGTAATTCCCCAATGTAGGCTGTCACCAAATTTGAAGACATTGGGTACAACTTTGCATGAGATATCGCGTTAACAAGAGTTGGAAAAGTGGTCAAAGTGTCATGGTGACCTTGAAAATAAGGTCAAGGTCACCCAAATCGACTGATGTCTGTGTAATCCCCCAATGTAGGCTGTCACCAAATTTGAAGACATTGAGTACAACAGTTCATGAGATATCAGTACAAGAATCAGAAACATACGGATGGACGGACGCTGCTGAATACATAGTCCCCCGTTCCACATTGCAGCCGGGGACAATAAAAACACATCTGACAAATAGTCCAGTGAGTTTTCCAATATGGCTGTCACAGTTGCAGACGGACAGGTGGCCTACCTGACCAGGTTGCTGTTGGATCCTGGTTGATTGCACACAACACACACATTCCGCTGCTCATCTTCTTTTGTAGGTTTTGGCTTCTTTGGAGCAGAAGTGGTAGGAGTCATCTTGGGCTTCTTTGGTGGCTGATAATAAACCAAGAACAAAACAGCTGACTTAACAATTGCTTGATACAACCACTTACATAAATGATCACTTTTCTTCTTTTCCAAGATATACAACATAGCAATCCTGAAGTGAAAATAGAAAGAAAGATTCGATTTGGTGGTTTGATATTTCACAAATGTGAGTTCTGGTTTGAATCCCTGCAAAAATTGATTGTAATTCAGGTGCCTTGTTAAAAACTAAAGACAGAAATCTTGCAACATATTGAACACCTATCCTTGTTGAACATGTTCTGAACAAATGGCAGTGGTCATCAGTGATAAACATTTAAGTAGGTCTGAACACAAAACCCATCCCTTAGTCTATACACTAACCCAAGATACCAAGGTGTTGACAATTTCAAAATGATTCACTGTACCTCACCCGGATATTTTACTCAACAGTCATGTACCTTAACAAAGGCAGCCACTTCGCAAATGTCAGAGCTGATTTTTACATATCTCTGCAAAAATAGTGAAAACAATACCTGGGTGAAGTGCAACTTACAGGTTCTAAGACTGGTTCTTGTTCTGACTCTGGCTCCGGCTCCTCCAGATCCAGATCCAGCTCTGGTTCTGGTTCTGGTTCTGGATCTGGGTCTGGTGCAGGTGTTGGTGTAGGAACACTCTCCACCTCTTCTTCCTGTTTCTCTTGTTCCACAGTCTTCTTCCTCCTGCTGCTGCTGCTACTACTACTGCTCCTCTTTGCATTCTTGCTCTTGTTCCTCTTCTCTTTCTGCAAGGAATACTGTTGGTGAGACCAAACTTAATCAATGGCTGGGAAACATGAATCTTCACCAAAATAATGCTTTGTAATGCAAACACAAACATTTCAGTGGTGTTTTATGACAAAGATGACTTACAGTGGACTGAAGATGGTTAGACACAAATGCCTAGTCTTAGTTGTCATGTTTAATCTAGACGTCCACAGTGAAACCTGTGATTTCTGTTTGCTGTTTAAATATATTGCAATGATCTGTAAGTGACTCTGGACAAGACAAACCAGTGGTCAACATCATGGGCATCTATCTGTCCTATTGGGGCAGGCATCAACAAAGTCACTGAACATGACCAACTGATCCTGTTAGTTACCTCTCAAGTCAAGCATAGGTTGCAAGCTACACAAAAAAGTTAGTTGAAGACAGATTAGCTATGGTAATAGGAAAGAAATGGTTGTTCTCTAACTATATTTTCATAAGTATGTGTTGTGACTTATCACTACATTTTGTTTGAACGAGAAACAGACCAACCAAGGCACAACCACAATGCTGCACCACTACTGGATCTTAAGGTAATTTTTCGGCCAGTAACTGACATATCAGTATCGCTGCTGATCATTAAGCCCATATGTATGTTTTCATGTGCATAGTTCATGGACAGAGTAGGCTGTTTCATGCCAGGAAGCCAGTTGTCAGCCAGATATTACCTTCAGCATTTCAAGTCTCTGCATGTTGACAAACTTCTGTGGTTGTTTGATGGTTTCACGTAAGCGGCGAGGGGCATCAACATTGACGTTACTCTTCTCCACAGACTCATCACTGCTTGAGCTCACGCACTCAGAACACTGCCTGATCACATGACATAGAGCATGAATGATGATAGAAAAATGCACACTTTCAGAGAAACAGGTTGGAAACTAACAGAAATGAAGAAGAAAACAGGGCAAGATTAAGCTATATAGCCAAGCAACTTATCCCATAAGACCTTACACCCACTTTTTTTAAAGCATTATCGATATCTGCCCTCTCCTGATTTCCCCAATTGTTACTTATAGCTTTTACTAAAAACGTTCTGATACATTCTGACGTTGATAGATGCAGATGATGAAATTTACCTTTCATGTGTTCCCGGTTATCAGATCACAATACAAACATTCCCAGTCAAAGGAAAGCCTCAAGGCATACAAAGTAAAGGAACTACTGGTACACACCATCCCTGTAGTTTGGTCTTCTTGGGCATCCTAGTGAGAGGTGGGTCCAGACAGCCTAAGTGGTAGTGCTTCTTACAGCTGTCACATTTCGCCAGCAGGTGCTGGTCCGTTGTCAACACACAGATACCACATCTACAAGAACAGGCGGAGTTGAGGTTGTCATCCATAACAGCTGCAGGTTCAATGTTACTTTACAGGAAGTTGCAAAATTGTAGAACCAGCCAAGTAAGGAAGTACAATATCAATATATTTAACTTGTCTCAGTAATTGTCATTTATCGTAAAAACCAACAGTCTTTCCAAAAATGTAATTTTCTGAATAAAATTGATATTTTATACTTATCCTGACTCATGATCTTTTGCTTATCTCCCTTTTCCTTGCGAATGTGGTGGAACACTTGAATCCCTTGAAGTTCCCGAAGCAGACGTAAAAATACACTCACCCACGAGTTACCTCCCTTGAGTTACCTCCCTTCCCGCGTAAACAGTCATGTGACCAGCCTTACTTGTCACTCTCTCCTGATTTTCCTGCCCATGCACTTGGATCTGCTGTGCAATCCGAAGTGTTTCCAGCGGGGAGGTTTGGAGCGCTTGACCTCATAAGTCAGGTTTAAGTATAAAAATATCAATTTTACTTGAAAAATTACTTTTTTTTTTCTTATCCTGACTCATGATCTTTTGCTTATAGAATCTGACGGATTGGTGGTGGGTCAGGCCACTTCCTGGATTCATCAGATGTCCTTAGATACGTCCTGTATCCCCCCATGGGAACTGCGTAGCGGCATTTCCGAGATCTTATTCTTCCAACTTCCGTTATAACTCGGGGGGCCCACTTCTTGTCTTGCTTCAATCTCAGACAAGTTTAATCATCTTGATTCATGTGGCTTCAGATAAACTAGTATCTTCTTATAACTAGATATCTTATAACAACCCATAGATAATGATAAGATCTTTATCATAAATGAGTTGCGACCCCTTCACGTACAGGTAAGATCTTTACCTGTACAGGATCTTTAATCACTCATGCTAGCCTGTCCTAGACTGTGCGCATGGACTTTCAAACTAATACTTTTCCTTAGTAAAAGTTATCAACAAGTAAACGTGATAAAGGGTGAGATTTTCCAACTCAGCGCCTTTGTGAAACCGTTAGTAGCTGTGCTACAACGAGAGGCCCAAATTGGTGAATGCCTGAGACATCTTCAGTGGCTATGTCTCGGAGGCAGCCCTCCATAATTGCTGATAAAGAGCAATTTCCATGTAGAGTTAGTGTTGACGCCAGTGCTCTGACTTCGTGTGGGTTGGAAGCTCTTGGAGGTTCTAGTCCTGCTGCTTTATAGGCTCTCAATATGACGGCTCTCATCCAGAATGATATCGTTGTTCTTGAGACTTCTGCTGATGGCTCTGTGGATAATAGGATGAACAGGCGCTTGGATTTTCGTCTCCTTGTCTTAGTCTTTGAAGATATATCTTCAGGGCTCTGACCGGACACAAGGATAGGTCCTCTATATCCTCTGTTCCGAGGATTGTAGATAGCGCTGGTATATGGAACTGTTTATCTGGCTGACCAGGTAGTTGGTTCTAGGCAATGAAGTCCCAAGGTCAGTTGTAGTGCGTGTGTCTGTTTGATCTTCAACAGTACTTTCGGTAGTAATATCAGTGGTGGAAAAGCATAAGTGTTTAGTCCTTCCCATGATATGTTCAGTGCATCTGTTGCCCAGGCTTGAGGATCTGGAACTGGTGAGACAAACGTCTGTAGTTGTTTGTTGAACCTCGTGGCAAACAGGTCTATGCATGGGGATCCTATTTCCCTTCTGATGAGCCCGAAATGCTGCTGGATTGAGTATCCATTCTGTAGGTGATGGGTGCAGTGGTCGGGAGAGAGCATCTGCAAGCACGTTCTTGGCTCCGGGTATGTGACACGCTTTTATCCAGATGTTTGCCTCCTCCATGATGTCAAACAACTGGAATGTGAGCTGTAGTAAGCTTGGTGATCTTGTAGATCCTTGCTGATTTGTGGAGAATGCCACTGTAGAGTTGCGAGCTCGACCATAGTTGTAAGGCGTTGATCACAGCTTTCATCTCCAGCAGAATGATGTGAAGATGCTGCTCTGTTTGGACCACTTCCTTGATGCAACTTGATTGTTGAGATGTGCACCCCAACCTTGTATCGATGCGTCTACGTAGAGATGTGTGTCGAAGTAGGTACCTCTTAAGATTGTCTGGCAGCAAGATAGGGTCGACGCTTTCCAGATGTTTGTCAGGAACCGTTGCAGCAGCCTTAGTTGTAATCTTCCTGTCAAGTCCTGCGCTGAGGTTAGTAGACCGAGTAGACATTGCGATGTCCGTAGTGTTAACGGAGAGATGACTGCTTGTGGAATCATGGCTTGTATCTTGACCCAATGATCTTCTGGGACCACAATTCGATTCTGTGTTGTGATAATTCTTATTCCCAGCAATTGAAGATCTTGTTTGATTCTAACTCCAACTTCATCAGGTTCACTAGCCATCCTAGTTGCGTGAGCAACTTAATTGTGAAGTTCAGCTGCTGTCTGAGTTGATTGGCACTTTGAAGAACCTGTATGCCGTCGTCCAGATAACCGGCACTGCGTAGATAGGTGCCGATAGGCTTGGTTATTCGTATGAATAATCATAGAGCCGACGATATTCCAAACGGTAGGACGTTCCATTGGAAGTGCTAACCTCTGATTGCAGTGATGATACATCATTCTTCCCCTTATATACGCAGGCGATCTGTGTTGATCAGCATACATCGAAGCGTTGTCTATTTATAGCTGGCTCCAGTGTAGCATCGGAGGGGACAGGTATTCATACTGACTTTTATCAGCGACAACTTCCAAAATAAACATCGTTTATCCTGCTGTCAAGGCTAGACATCTATTAGATTCCCATGATGATAACAGGCCGTAGTTGTATACTGTTTCCAAGGCTGCCGATGAAGTATTCCCCTGTACCTTGGGTTTGTTTACAAATCAGAAAACATGCTGGAGCCTGCTCTGTCAGTGGGAGGCGTTGTCTGACGTGGACCAATCAGCTTCCAAGCATGACGTCACCGGTGTTGTAGCAAGTTGGCCTCCATAAAATCTGATGCAATTAGTTGGTTGAGTAAAAGCACGCGTAATTCTACGCCGCTCATATAAACCTCTTGAATAAGGGTTGCTCCAAGTGTTAAATCTTGTTCAGTGATAAAAATCACGTATTCCCATTGTGGATAATATAAGCCAGCATGACGAAGGAGGCTGTCGAGACGTATGTCTGTATGGATCTTGAAGAAATACCGATGTTGAATCTAGTTGATAGGATATAAAATCCTAATCCCCACGCTGAGTGACGAGTTTTAATAATATCATCTGTACATCCGTTCAAGGATACTTGAAGGCATTGTTAACCTTAAGCCCTCTACAAAGGTTGCCTTGAGATTCTCCAGTACTTGAGATATCAGCTTCATAGGAGATATCATATTGGAGTCGAAGTCATCAGCATATATGCAGTACGTCTCTGTTGGGTTGGAGTGAGTGAGCGAACGACGATATCCGCAGGCCATCTGCTACTCGGTATAAGACCTCAGCATCCGTATAGATGAAGTCATTCCTTTCATCAAGTAGGTTGTCGTCCGAAACTGAACCTATACAGGTATAAGGTTTATGCAGGTTGTAGAGTTGTGCAGGCTGTAAACTGTAGAGATCGCACATCTTGTAGATCTTTTTGTTGAGTTTAAACTCTGACAAAACCATCTGTTTTCATCATTGCTTCGTTTTAATCAGCCGTATGGTAATAGAGTCGACGTCAACAACCTGCCTGTTGATGTAATTTTTTAACCCTAGGGTTCGCGAACCTTGTAGATGTCTGCATTGCTGTTATCTGCCTGTAGATCTGAGAGTTCTCAACCCTTGAACATGTCTGCAGCTTTCTCAAAGCTGTGCGTAGGTTAGAAGGTACCATGGAAAGAGGTTCAATCGGAGGAATAGTCACCGAGTCAAAGTCGTCATTACGCAGCTTATAAGTGTAGACTTCATCTATATCCTTAGAAGGAGACTCCAAGTTCAAATCATTGGCTATCCAAGCTGTAACCTCTGAGTCCGGGAAGACGGAGTCTGGTTATACATCAGTTATCTCCTGATCGGTAGAGCTATGCCTCCAGGAATCATCCTTCTGCGAACCTGTATCCCTTCTCTCGAACCTCCATCATCCTTTCGCGAACTGAAGATTCCTCCCTTGGCGAACATCTATCTTGAGAGTCCTCTCTTCACGAACCTCTATCTGTGGATTCATCTCTTCGCAAACCTCAGTGATGTGAGCCTACTCTTCGCGAACCTCTGTCACTAGATGTATCCCTTCACGAACCTCTGTGATGTGAGCCTTCTCTTCGCGAACCTCTTTCTCGTGATGAGTGACTTTGCGAACGTCTGTGAGAGATATGAGATCTCGATCTAGAACGGCTATGTGTAGGAGATGAATCCTTCGATGTTCTCGAATGTTGAGGGTTCACAGATGTAGAACGGTGAGTAGGCATCTCATGTCTTCTATCCTTAAAGGATAACAAAATCGTCAGAGTGTGGAGACCTTTGAAAAGGTGTACGTTCGCCAACGTAGTCTTGAGACGTAGTTCTATGTGGAGTAGGTTCGCACAGGTCCGTAGGTTTGCGCACGGTGTCAGTGGATGAGAGGCTTCGCCGAGCCTTCGCTTCTTCCTCGAACCTCCGTTCCATCATAGCCATCATCTGGTTGGTGAATTGTCCCATAATTTCACCCCGATCAAGTTCTGTGTTGATTGAAGCTGCTGCGGTGTCGAAGAAGCGTTCGCGAACGCTGATGAGTTGTGTGCCTCAACTTCACTCCGTTGAGAAGTTGGTGGTAGTACGTCAAACAGCTGGCCTGCTGTGACCGTTGCAGGAGACGATCTAGTAGTCGAGGAAGTCGATTGAGTCGCCGATCTCGTAGGTACTTCGGGTAGAAGTAACGGGGGGATCATCAAAAAACGTCTACTTCTAGCGGAGGTAATATCTCTTCGTTGAAGGATTTCTGATGCTTTGACTTACTAGACTTACTTACCCTCCAATCTGGTAACAGATGCTTTCTTCTGCGACGTAGAAGAAGACGACGTCTTTTTCTTAGCTTGAGTCAAGTCAACTGCGTTGTAGCCGATCTCTTCTTGGTCCCCGTACCAGCAGACTGCCCCTGCAACGTACTCAACATAGCACCAGTATTATGAATCTCCGCAGTAGCAATCAACATGCGGTTTGCAGGCTGATCTCCTGTTTTATCAGCCGTGGCTTGAGATGACTTCCTCACCCAATCCATGGCACGTCTATAGATATAGACAAATATTGATTAAATTGTAGATTTGATAAATCAACACAATAAGTACAGCGCAAGCTGGAAGAACATGGTTTTATGCACGAAAGGCATTGGGGGTGAGGATCAGCCAGGGATAACCTGTGCCTGCAAACACTGCAAGATTTCATGAAATGTAAACAAAGTTACATAACGACTTCAGTGCTCGCCCAACCATCCACTTGGGCGAAAAGGGAGAGAGTGACAAGTAAGGCTGGTCACATGACTGTTTACGCGGGAAAAGGGAGGTAACTCGTGGGTGAGTGTATTTTACGTCCACTCCGGGAACTTCAAGGGATTCAAGTATTCCACTACCATTCGCAAGGAAAAGGGAGATAAGCAAAAGATCATGAGTCAGGATAAGAAAAAATCACAATTTTCTTACAGCAGCAGATGCCAACTGCAACATGATTGCCTTACTTGTGAATGACAGCTGGTGGAGATTTGGGTGTTTCCTTCTTGGTTGGTGATCGAGGGGCCTTCTTTGGTCGAAACATTTCTGGAATGTTTACTTTCTGGAAGAACATCAAACCATGTTTACAACCAGTAAAGCATTATGTAACAGTACCACAGCAACATAAGACAGCATCATACAACCTCATGGGAAACATGTCATTATGATTCACCACAAATCATAAGAGCATTTCCATATTAAGGTGTCATGATATTCTTCCCATTTATAAGAAAAACAAATTGAGACCCTACTGCTATTCAACATTATTGCATGATGTAAATCACATATTCAAATCATGTACACTCAGCACCATTAGCTATGTGTGTATAAGCATGTGTTTACACATGAGTTACCATTGTTACCTTTCCACCAGATTCTGACAGGTTATCCCACATTTTCTCCCCCTCCTTTCTCAGGCGCGTTGTGGACTCTTTGTGTTTCTCTAGAGCAGCAAACAGCTGCAACACACAGACAACAGTTTCATCACAGCTGCTTCCTGATAATAGAACTTCTTCATCATGTTAATACCAATGGTAACTTATGACTGGTAACTGTCAACTAATGGCTGCTAAAGCTACTGCCACTTGCAGTCATAGAAAGATTAACACAATCTATGAAAAGTTTATCTATCCAAATCTGTAGGCAGTTGATATTTGCTATACAAAAATCATTAAGGACCACCAGACTCTTTTACATAACTAGACTTCATGATTCCATGATAGATTAATCATTGTGTTATATAAGGATCAAATAGTCCTTAGCATTTCTGGGATTTGTACATGTAAACAAAAAATGGAATGTTCATAAATTTAGCTAAACCTGTAGAGGTTTCCAATTCTTTGAAGAGAGTCAGGCCTTGGGGTACATAAATGCATTTTCTGCGGCTGAAAATGTCATGTGACAGTTGTATCAATGTTTTAATAAAAATATTGTACAATAAATAAAAATCTTTTTTATCTATTACACGGCCCCCACCACATGGAGTTACCTCCAACCAGGTAAGCACCTAGGCCCGTCTCATCATTCCTTCTGCTGAATAAATCAGTGAACAGAATTGCGGGGAGGTGGGTGGCCCTACCCCAAGGAAGATTCTCTTCAAAGAATTGGAAACCTCTACAGGTTAAGCTAATTCTTTTTCATAGAGATCGTCCTTGGGGTACATATATTAACTCAGACTCCCGAAGACCGGAGGCTAGGGAGGAGGGAATTCTGTCAAAGTACACATAAATAGCGATCGTGAGGAAGAATGTAACAGACGACACAACACTCACCTGTCACGTGTCCCGCAGCTTCCGCGAGAGGCATGATGGGAGGGTAACCGACAGGGAGGAAAGTACTAAGATCCGACCTCATAGGTTAAGCAAAGCAATTCGCACACAGTGCGAAAGTAAAAAAACCCACCCACATCGTGAATCTATTATAAGAGTACCGTAAGGGGGAAACCTAACTCACAACCGACCATAATCTCCTGAGAGAATCGAAAGGAGTTAAATATGATAACAGCGGATATATCAATGATACACAATTGAAAGCAACGTCAACTGTCCAGACAACAAAGTCTCACTCGGTCAGGGTGGCAGGACACTGTCCACCGGAGAGAACAGACTGCCAAAACGCGCACGATCACGTGAATGTGTATCGAGCTGATAGTGCCTGATAAAAGTGCTAGGCCTGCTCCAAATAGCGGCAGAGCATATCTCTTCAATGGGCAGTGCCGATGCAAAAGCCCTTGACATGGCCACTGCCCTGACCGAGTGAGCCTTCAACCCCTCAGGGGGAGGCTTGCCCTTAGCCTGATAAGCAGCACAAATGACCACTACAAGCCAGCGTGATAGGGTCTGTTTGCTCGCCGGCATCCCAGCCTTCATGCCAGCCTTCCCGCCACCGTAACAGAACAGATGAGTACCCGTACGGATCCCTTGTGTTCGTTTGATATAGACCTTGACAGTCTTACGGACATCCAATGGGTGAGTGCTCGTTGCAGAGGTCCCTGATGTGGAAGGCTGGGTAAGAGTAGGAAGTTCGATAGGAGCTGTCACATGGAAAGCGTGATCGATCTGACATGATCTGGATGGAACACAGTCAGCGCCGGGTCTGCCGACATAGCATGTAAGCCGCCGACCCTTTGCCCAGATGTGGACCGGACAGCCAATCTAGCACGATTGACAAATCCCAAGGTGGGCTGGTGCGCCTGACAACAGGTCGAACCCGATCCACCACGCCAGCTAAAAAGCGCTGTAGAATAGGGTGCTGCCCCAGAAGAGCACCATCGACAGGGGTGTGGGAAGTGGAAAAAGCGGTGGAGTAGCCACGAATGGTCGAAGCCGCCAAGCCTTCTTCCAAACGAGCTTGCAAAAACTCCAATACTCGGACTAAATCCGCAGAAAAGGGATCTGCAATCCCCCTATCTGAACACCAGCGCACATAGCAGGACCACCTATCCTCATACTGAACGTTTGTCGAATCCCGCCTCGAAGCCAGAATTTTGTCTGCAACTGCTGCAGGAATTCCGCTTGCTTCGAGGCTAGACCTGACAGAGGCCAAGTCACCCACTGAATCCTTGGATTGGGGTATGGCGTGCCGTTCTGAGTGAGAATGTCTGGTCGCAAAGGTAATAGAACAGGAGGCTGAGCCAGAAACCTGAAAATTACTGGAAACCATGTCTGTGACGGCCATAGCGGTGCCAGTAGCACAAGTAGCCGAGCTGGCTGGGTGGACAGCTGGGAGAGGACCCGGGGAATGAGTGGTAGAGGCAGGAACGCCCGCACCTTGCCCGTCCAATCCAGCAGGAAGGCCTCGGAAGCCAACACCCTCTGGTCCGGTATTCGAGAGCAGAACACGGGTATCTGATTCGTCCCCCCGGACGCAAACAGATCCACCTGGAACGATCCGTACAACTGGGAGATAACTCTGAATATCTGCCGGTCGAGCATCCACTCATGCGGGGCCAGGATCCAGCAAGAGAGAGCGTCTGCTTGCACGTTCTCCAGCCCCGGGAGATAAACAGGAAGCACCTGACAGTCGCACTGGTCGCACCAGAGTAGAAATTCCCACGTCTCCCAAAGGAGCGCTAGGGACACCGTGCTGCCTTGCTTCAGGATGTATGTCATGGCCGTACGGTTGTCCAACTGAAGACGAACCACCTGGCCCCGAACATGCTCCCGGAAGCGCTCGAAAAACAACCGCACAGCTCTCAGTTCTAAGACGTTGATGTGAAGGAGGGCTTGGGCTTCGGACCAGAGTGTGGACACCAACAGACTGCCCAGAACACACACCCAGCCCATGAGGGACGCATCGGTTTGAACTGTAAGAGCTGGCGTCAGGATTTCCAAAGGGATCCCCTTGGAGAGATTCCCGACATTGGTCCACCACTGAAGGTGAGGAGACAACCACCCGGGAACTGTGAGATCCTCCGAGTGAGCCCACAGACTCGCCAAAGCTTATAGGGCGCATCCTCAACCGCGCCCGCCACATGACAGAGATAGTTGCCGCCATATGACCCAGTAGACGGAGCCAAGTCCGCGCTGGTGCCTGGGGCTGGGAGAGGAATGAAAACACCATCTCCCGTACTCTGGTGACCCAGTTGGGCGACAAAGAGACAAGACCCTTGTGAGTTGTGAACCTCGCCCCGAGAAAAAACAAGTCCTGGGTGGGTACCAGGTCAGATTTCTTGAGGTTGATGATCCACCCTAGTCGAACTAGAATGTCTATCACCGTGTGGGTAGAATCTAGACTCGCTGGCTGAGTTAGTGCGCTGAGCAACCAGTCCTCTAGGTAAGGATAACAACGCCTTCCTTGCGACCTTGCGAGGGTAGCCGGCACTAACATGAGCTTGGGAACACCCTGGGGGCAGTGAATATGCCAAAGGGGAGCACCGTGAATTGGTAATTCATCAGTAAGAGGTACTGCTTGAATGATGGATGAATTGGCACATGTAGATACGCATCCTGTAGGTCGATCGACGTAAGCCAATCGCAGGGCTTAACAGAGAGATCACCGAGCGAAGTTTCTCCATCTTGAAGGATGGAACCTCTAGCATGCGATTCAACCCCTTGAGGTTGAGAATGGGACGGAACCCACCGTCCTTCGGAACGAGGAAGTACGTGGAATAAAACCCCGCCTGTTCCTCGTCCGGTGGTATGCGCTCTATTGCAGACTTGTCCAGCAAAGCCTGAACTTCGTCTCGCAGTATACCCGCCTTGACCAGACATGACGGCACCGGAGTGCGACGTATGCCGGTGAACTCTGGCGGGCCTCGCTTCCACAGTGGTAGATGGCCGACACTGACAGTGGATAGCACCCAAGTGTTGCTGGTAGCCTTCTCCCACTCCGGCAGGAATAGAGAGAGGCGGACCCCCACTGGGACGTGTGGTAAAAGGGCGTGAGTGGTCTCCTGCAACTGACTGGGACGGACCCACGGCGACAGCCTGCTGGTTTATAGGGAGGTCGGGGCAGACCCCCTGCAAACGAGAAAAGACTGCTGGGAGCCAGACGAAGAGGACTGCTCCTTGCCCTTACCTTTGGCAGGATGGCTCCTCCTCCTACCCCTGCCCAGCGGCTGAAGCCAGCCGGCAGACTCGGCGTAGGCTGCGCCCCGGAGGAGGAACCTGCTACGGGAGCGCGGGAGCGAGAAACCCGCGGTTGCTCAAAAAAGGCCTTAAGGGTCCTTGAAGGAGGTAGCTGCTGCAGCAGCCTCCCGAATGACCTGCTGTGCCCTCGGAAACAACGTCGCTCCCAGCCGAAATGGAAGGGCCAGCAAGGTCTGCTGTGTCGCTGTAGATAGCCACAGCTTGCGCATCCCCATGACTGCGCACATCACCGTAGACACGGCAGACCACAAAGAGTCTCGCGTCAGGTGGGCCTGCACTACGGATAATTGGCAAAGTAGAACAACATTCGGGGAAACGTCCCCAGTGCTCCCTTCCGCCTCCAGAGCCCGGCAGGCGGAACTCAGTTAGGGTATATACTCGGCAATACGTTGCCTAACCTTCAGGAGAGCCGACGAGAAACAGAAAGTACCCTCCAACTCCTCGACCTCCCCAACATCCATAGACTCGGCACCCGAGCCCGAGTCAGACTTCGGGGTCTCCTCGTGAAGTGGAGCCGAACCCTGACCCGGTGGGAGGGCGAGCCACAGACGCCGCAGGAAGGGAAGAGCCGAAAGAACTCCCCGGGCAGAACCGGCTCCTCCGCTCTCATGGGGCGGGGTGGCGCAGGGACCGGAATCCAAGGAATCCTCAACGGACCCTGCGCCAGCACCGAGAGGGGGACTGGGAGCGAACCCTCCCCCTCCGGGGTAGCCGAGGCGTCTAGACCCGAAGCCATGGGCAAAGGATGAACAGTCGCCTCCAGGCTAAGGGATCGAGCCGGGCTCAGTGATCCCACCCCCGGACTCTTGTTCCCCTGTTCAGAGTGAGCGAGGAACTCCTGGCGGAGACCTCCAACGGACTCATGAACA